CCTCTCTGTACGTATTTGGGCAAGTATCACTCATGATTCATTTTGTAGCTGTCTCCAGAAAAATGTTGAGGTGGGGGTGGTGATGCTAATGGGAACTTCCAAAACATCCTTCATTTAATCCCATGACTTAATTTGAACCCTATCAGATTAGCATTTAAAATAAATTTTATTAATCCTGTGTGACCTACCTACAGGTATCCATTTAAGATGTAACTTGGGTAAGCTTATAATTTGTGAAAGGTGAAATCAGGAATTGAACCATGGTGGGAGCAGGGGATAGTTTGTAAAGGGAGCCAGTGACAGCACACGGTGTGTTCTGGTCCTGCTTGCTCTGTTTAGCTGAAAAAAGGAATTTGGAAAATGACCAACTTTAAGAGTTTGATTTTACAGTAGTGATTTATTGAAGTGTTCATGAGATGCTCCAGGAATTCCTGTGGGACTATCCAGATAAAAAGTTAACTCTTCAGGTGACTGGGAGATGCAGGACTCGGACCTCATTCTGTTTATGACCGAGTAGTGTCATAGCTAGACATGTATGTATGAGATATGTATGTTCTACACCCCAGGTGTGCCATTCTTAGAATGATTGTACTGTATGGCTGTCTTTCTGTTTGCAAAGACAAGGGAGGCTTCTAGCCCATATAGGTAAATAATTTTCTGGGACAATATAAACTCCATAATAATGAAAAGGGTTTGCCAGCTTAGTTGTATTTTTCTAGGAAAGCAGCTTTTTGCCTTTTGTTGTTGTTATGCTCCTGATTAATATAGATATTCTAGAAGTCTGCTTTAGTCCCAACCTTGCATCCATTCAGTTCATATCTCACTAGGGTGAAGTCCCAGGAATAATCCCAGTGCTTTGGATGCATCACTCTTTCAGGTGATACTGCAAATTAAAGGTCATGAAGTTCTACTGCAGAGGTCAGCCATGATGCAGCTGGTCAAGCATTCTGTTCAATGCATTGTTCTGCTCTGACTTGCATAGTTATCACTTTCTTCTCCAAAGGAGCTGAATTTTAAATGAAACTAAATTGAAAGCACTCTGACAGGGTGGCACGTCATTGGCCTAAGTGTAGTGACAGCAGTGAATTACAGTGATTGTTGTGATGAACCTGACACTTGAGCTCACAGAAGTTTGCTGCTAGTGTGTTCTGGCATTCTTGTGGGTAAAGGGAGTTATGCAAATTTAACACTAGGTTATTCTTTTTTTCCCTATCTGCATTTTGATGAAGCTGAAGCTTAAACTTAATAAAAGACCTGTCTGGAGAAACATATGCATTCAAGAACCAACAGCCAGCATGGATAGAAAATATCTTCTAAAATACAGTAAAAAAAAAAAATCTTTTGAGAAAATTGTTTGGTTTGTTTATTGTCTTTAATTGACTAACTGGCCTGGGCTGCGTTCAACCATTTCTAGATGAGTTCTTGAGAGCTATTCTAGTGTACAGCCATTTCTTGAGTGTGTGCAAGCTTTGAAATCTGTTGAACTTTCCACTCAAAAACTCTTACAGGAAGAGTCCCAAAGGATCATTGATACAGGAAAAAGAACCAGACTCATTAACAGAAGAGTTTTGTGAACTCATGAAAGATGTACTTTCAGATTTCATGAGCAATCTGATCTGCTGTGTGTTATCCACACGTAATTTTGAGAAGGTCTGTAGCTGACAGAGAAGTGGTATTCCTGGAGCAGTAGTATATTCATTAATAACACAGTGACTTTTGCTCATTCCTGTCCCCACTCCCAAGTCTCAGTTGTGGTAGGATGAAAGCTCAGTCAAGCCAGTTAAAGTGATTTCTTTAAAGGCCCAAGCTGTACCATTTGGAGTCAATGAAAGGAACAAAAAAAACGTGTATGTGGAAGTCACTCTGCTACCAGGCTGTTCTCATCTTGGTGTTGCTGTTACACTAGAAAAACCCAGTCCTGGATGAGAAAAGACTTTTTAAAGGGTAAAATTTTGGTCCACTCAGTTTTGACTGAGTAGTCATTGAGAGATACCTTCTAGGGTGCAGAGAATATTTTTGCTCAACAAGCTGGCATCGTCTTCAGAAATGCAACCCAAGAGTTGCCTTAAGTACAGTGTCAGTGCCATGAAATAAACCACCTGTGAAGTCTACTGAGGAGCTGGATGGAAATCATGGCTTCTGGCTATAGTTTGGACCAGCTTAATGTGCTCTGAAAAAAAAACATTTCACACGTCATATCACACCAGCTGAAAAAATAGTGCACATCAGCAGTGCTGTTACACAGAGTAAAGGACTTGCAGCAGGTGTGAATGTGTGGAGGCACCGAGCATTATGGTAACACCTGTGTTTCTCTAAATCCAGCCAAAACAATTTCCTCTCCAGTGGTAGAGGAGGATTAGAAAAAAAAATCTACCCAACTTCCAGTAGTAGCAGACATTTCCTGTAAAGGAATTTGCATAGTGTTTCCCATGGTGCACTGTGGCTGTGCTGTGGTTTTTCTCTTTTAAACTTTCTTAGTTTGGGGACACCTTCGATAACTTCAGTCACCCCTGACCACCTCTTTGTCTCACGCCAGCATTGCCAGGCCCGAGCAGTTGCAGATGGTGTGCTCTCTGAGTGCTTTCCTTAATTGAATGAAAAATAAAGCCTCTTGTAAAATATTACCAATTTAGATGTGACTTATGGGGCACATATGATGCTTATTTTTTCAATTAGATGAAAACTTGGCGTGGTTAAACATAGGAAGCCAAGTGTTCTGTGAAGCTGCTATAGATTTCTGGATTTTTAGGTGATTTTGCTTTAAATTATTATATAGCAGAAGGGGGTGAAGGAAGTCAGCAGCTAAGCTGTTTTCCCAGCATGTATTTCACTCAGTGGACCCTTGATGCTCATTTCATGACTAATATATGCTGTACTATATGCATTTCTTGTTGTCACCAGAGATAACATTAAGTAAACTATCCCCTTAAGAAAAACAGCTTTTCTTGGCAAGTGGAATATGACTCAAGGAGCCAGCACTGGAGACATACGGTGCTGTGAATGAGCGCTGTGTGTTACTCTACTGGATCTGAGTCCAGGCACTATTTATACTGCAGCATATTCAGCACCAGATTGTTAAATCTTAATACTGAAACAGTGTATCATTTAAATGTTTTTGTTCTGTTTATGTCCCATTTTCAAGCATTGGATATCAAGCAACACTTACTAACTTTTTGTTTCATTTGGACAAGATGTCCTCTTGCCAAAAGCTTTTCCAGTCTGCTCTTGAAATGCTCTTGAAATATTAGCCTGTCTGTACCAGCATGTTACAGTGAAATTTTGTGCCACTGAGGATGAACTAGGTCACTTTGAACTTCTTTCAGTATGTGGTGATAGAATACCTTGTAAAGCAATACATCAATACTATATGCAAACATTTGAGTGCTATAGAAAGGAGTTCTACTAAAATGATTTATTCCTCAACCTGTGTAGGAATGAGGAAGAAAGTACTCCATAGCAGTTTTTTAATGGGCTCATAATCATTGTGTTCTGTCATTGTCTCTGTGCAAGAAGCTTTGGTTCACTGTTTCAGAGGTGGTATTTATTTATGATCATGTTTTGGAGATGGATAAAAGGCCTTGGCCATTCATTTCAGTTTGATTAGTTCCAGAGCTGGTGAAGAACTGGGAGTAGAAAGTGAGAATGAGAAGGTTGAAGTTTTTTGACATTGCAGCATCCTTCCACATACCCAAAGAGGGTTCTTGGAGCCCCTGCTAAGGAGGTCATTTTCTCTTCTATTGGAGTATTTCTGTCAGTGAAGTTACAATTTTGACGAATCAGATGTATATAAGCAGACCTCAAAAGGTATCGCTTTAAATAGGAGAAAAAGTGATTAGTGTCTTTGTAGGGCTGTGCTGAGAAAAGTTATGTGAGCAGAACAGTGGGGCAGTGGGAACATGGAGGAGGAGGGGGTAAAGCAGTAGTTGCAATAGTGCAGAACAAGGCTGAACTGCTTTGTTCTCGTGTAAGATGGCACTGTGGCTTTCTTTGTTTGGTGTCTTCCTGGAAGTCATTCCTGGGTATTAGTCATTGTTTTTGGTGTGGGTGGGCCCTCTGCAATTGTCTAAACAGAAATAATACCTCTGCACCAAATGGTTTACCATCCAAGTTTACAGTCTTTGTGACAAACTCATCCAGAGAGGTGATGATCCCTATTAAAGAATGAACAGAAGTAGAAATAGGACTTACAGCATTCTCCCTCGCCCCCAAAGAGCTATTTTGGATCTGCGGTCAGCAGCTTGCAGTTGTTTTTTTCTCAAAGAAAAGCTACCGTCTGCATAGTGCAACTTGTAGCTGGGAGTAAAGTCTTCCTACTTTGTAGATTTCCTGTGCCATCCATCCACACTGGGTATCGTACCATGCTTAGATTGTAACTGTCTGCTGAAAGCCCACACATTGGAATTTTCCTGTTCAAGTCAAAACCAATGCATTTATTTACTGAAGGGTTTTGCAGACTGCAAAATCAGGTCTATAGAGTATTTAAAGCTTGTTCTAACTTAGAGAACTAGGCTTTAGTGGGATGATGAAAGATGTGAAGGGAGGAAGCCTCCTGTGCTTCCTCGAAGTAATTTAAGAGCCAGGAACATGTCA